AAGATAGGTCTACTGTTGTAGGTGTCATGTCCAGCCATCCTAAGGGCAGGTAGTATACTGGAGAAGTAACTGCAAACAAAACTCTGAGCAGGAATTACGAGAGCCCAGGTCAACTATGAAGTCCAATTCTTGGTTTACCATAACTGGGATATTCTACTTGTTTGTTTGGGGGTTGGAATGGTAACACATATTGCATAGTATCATTCTTTTTTGTTGTTGTTAATTTACCAAGGTTACACAGTATACAGCAGATTCAAATCCATGATTGCAGACTCCAGAACCTAGTACTGAGACGCTAACCAATAAAATATACTGTTTTTGCAATCCATGAGCAGAAATGAGTTCATATTTATATTGCATACATATAATGGGAGAACTCAGATGATATACACTAACTCTAAGAAGTGAGCTTATGGGAACTGTTTTCAAACAATCATAGTTTATAATTGGTATTGTTAGAAAAAAGAACAAAAAAACAAATCTTAAAGTGCAATGAACTAATAATATAGACTCAGGCAAAGTACTTAATTTTAATTAAATCTGTTTCAATTTCTGTAAAATAACACTTTCCTTACATCTCAGGATGGTAGAGAGAAAATAAAACATACGAAGTACTTAGTATAACAACTAGTACTTGGTGATCCGGAAAAAATAATAGATCCTGTCATCTTCATTAAGCCTTAAAAATTTAATATTAATTTTGAAGATCAAGGCAACAGTGCATACTTAAATAATAAAATTCCTAAATTTAAGTTGCTCAATGGTAGTGAAAAATGAATCACGAAACACCTATCTTCCTGGTCTATGGGGGGAAAGGGTTGAAAACTTTGTTGATTATGTCTGCTGGTAGCATTTTAAATTTGCCCCTTCTATATCCTAGTTGAATAATGCAAACAATTTACTTTTAGAATTCACATTCAGCTTGATATTCACATCTACTTAGTTGGCATATGCCACATATTTTACTTTTGTATGTTAAATAATTATTAACAGTAAAACAGTAAATTCACTTTGTCTATGAACAAACTATCCATTCCCCACAAGTAATGTAATCATTATCTAATACAAATATGCAGTAATAAAAAATAAAAACTGATACAAAACAAAAATAAATATGAAAGAAAAAGCTTCTAAAGTGTATTTTTTAAGTGAATTAAGTTTATAGGTACATTTTAGATATACATCATGATCACATTCGTCAGAGAATTTGTACCTGTACATGATGTATTTTGGCTCATGTATCTGTAATAATGCAGGTGAATCTTTTTAAAAGAAATTTTAAAACAACAAAAAAAATGTGTTATTTCAGCTTATGTCCATTGCTCTGAGACTCAAATATTCTATCCACCAACTGTTTAACAATTCAAAAAAATCAACAATATTAAAAAAAATATATGCTTCTTGTATTAATCTTTAACCAAAAGGGAAAATAGAAATGTGAACCTTGCAAAGGAATTCTGGAAGGGTTTTACTGAGGAAATTAAGCAAAACAAAATTTGTTCAATTAGCCTTAAATCTAAGTGAACTAAGACTTTACAGGTCATCTCAGTTAAAAATATAGAAATTAGGGGCCAGGAATTTAGCTCAGTGGTTCTGGCACCTGCCTCG